CTTTCCCGGAACTAAACAGACTTACCCCCCTAAAATTTTTGCACTCTCTTTTTCCCCTTTCCCTTTTACAAAGGGACTATGCATGCTCTCTCCCAATCCCTAGGTACCTTACCCTCTTCCTACATTTATTAAAAAATTGCCCCAACCACTCCAAAATTTCCCATGTTTTTAACATTTCTATCTTTATCCCATAATTCCGCTCCTTACCCCCTTTCATTTTACTACTGCTCACAAACTTCCCCCCCCTCACAACTGGCTTTCTCATCCTACAAGTGTTATTCCTCCTTGCCTATACAGAATCACAGCTTCCCTATCTTCATCAACATTTAACAATTCCTCAAAATATTCCTTCCATCTTCCAATACCTCTAACTCTCCATTTAATAACTCTCCTCTCCTATTTTTAACTGACAAATCCATTTGTTCTCTAGGCTTTCTTAACTTGTTAATCTCACTCCCAAAACTTTTTCTTATTTTCACAAAATTTGTTGATAACATCTCACCACTATTATTTACCACTACTATTATTACTATTACTGTTACTACTACTACCTTTACTATTATTACTATTACTCTTACTACTACTGCTATTACTATTACTACTGCTATTACTATTACTACTACTTTTACTACTACTACTACTACGACGACGACTACTACTACTACTACTACTACTACTACTTTTACTACTACTACTACTACTACTACCACTACTACTACTACTACTACTACTACTACCACTACTACTACTACTACTACTACTACTACTACTACTACTACTTTACAGCACTTTGTTTTACAGTGGTTCACTATTGCAGCACTTCTCAATTATTCTCATTCTTCATTTATTCAGACTTTCTACAATAAATATATTTACACTTTACTATAAGCTAAGGGCGAAAATATTTTAAGGTAAGTAATGTGTGTACTGTATATGTATTTGCAAGTAAAACAAAAAGGCTATGATTCACTTCACAGCTATTTTTGCCGTATAAGCGGGGCCCTCCTGTGTTGCCATTACACTGACCCCCTTAAGCGAGGGTCCTTGATGCGTCCCATTCCTCAGGGACTGTATGGCAACTACGAGTTTAGAACTTCTTTCGTAAATAATAAAAAAAAGCACAATACCGTGACTGGAACGATGCACAAATAACCCGCATGTAGAAGAGTGGAGCTGACGACTACATTTCGGTCCGACTTGGACCATTTACAAGTCACACTGTGTGTGTTTCTTTCGTAAATGTAATAATGTATGCTCATTGAAGGTGTGTGTGTGTGGCTGCAAGGGGTCGAGTTTTAGCTCCTGGGTCTGCCTCTTAAATTGCCACTTACCAGATTCACTCTCCCTCGCCTGGTGGGCGCTGTCATACTTACTAGGTTTAACGCATACCTCTGTTACTTTGTCCAGGTCATTCAACTTGCTGGGGGGAGCGATATCCTGCATACAGTGACTTGACTCAAACAATAGATTGGAGGTGGAGCATAAATTTTACCTTAACTCAGAAGAATGTGTTGAGTTGATCACGGGTCATACAAGAGGCACCACAGAACAAGTCATTATGTAATGAAGTTAAATGTCGGTAATTTTCTCTGAGAAATAACAATACTCAGAAGGATGCATGTTCTCACCTTGATGTTGGGGATGTAGGATATAAGGAGGAGAGGCACGATCATCATCTCCATGTAGTTATAGATGGAGATGTTGGTACCAGCGGGAGTCATGCACTTCACTGCCTGACACAGAAACAAGAGGTACACTATTGTCAGTAACTGCTGCCACTCTGATGGTAAAAGGTATTGTTAATTGCGTTCCAACTTAAAAGTAAAAAATGAGGCCTGGCTGTGGGGGCGTTGACCCCCTTCGTGGTAGACTATAATCTAATTCTCTCTCTCTCTCTCTCTCTCTCTATCTCTCTCTCTCTCTCTCTCTCTCTCTCTCTCTCTCTCTCTCTCTCTCTCTCTCTCTCTCTCTCTCTCTCTCTCTCTCTCTCTCACTCACATCGTGGATGTTCTGGGGTATGAAGACAAAATAGACACAACAGAATCCGAGCTGTGTAATAACAAGGAAGACGTTGATAATGTAGAAGACAGCTCTGTGACACCTTCTGCATCCTGCAGGACCCATCTTGAAGGCCATCTCTGCCGTCTCCTCGTAACTCAAGTTCTCCACCATCGACCTTCTACACAGCTCCTTCGAGCTCCTGACCTGCCAACACACAAACAGTTACTATGGTGACGGGTAAAACACACGTGCATTACATATATTTTTATTCGAAACGTTTTGTCTGCACAGTAAGCTTCTTCAGTCGAATTTAAAACATCCGCTGGTCTACCCAACTAGGTTTTACACCCCACTTAAAATTTTTTAGATCTCTATATTGTAATGTATCATATCCTTACTGGTATTCAAAAAACAAAGAAAACTTCGGGGAAAGCAATAAATGTTTGCCCTTACGGGGGATTTTTGGGGAGGAGTTAAAGGTGCAAAAATTCAAAAGGGTATGGTGGGAGGGGAAAGTTTTAATTGTTTATTATGAAACCCCTTTACCCCCCCTGTGGGCGGTAGTAAAAAGATTACTGAGGACATAATTGGTCCGGGGACTGGACCCCAAATTTTTTAAAGGCTGAGAAAGGGTTACAGAGGTAATGAACTCCAAAATTAAAAAGGAAATAAAACCCAGGTAGGTCTGTCACAATCATGACAAGTTACAAAGGTTTTTTACAGATTACAGAGGTACAAAAATGGGTCCGGGGAAACGGGGCCCCAAATTTTTGAGGGCTGAATGGGTACAAGGTAATAAAACCCCCACAAGTTAAAAAAGGAAAATAAATCGGGTAAGAATGGTTACTTACTTTTTTACAGGGCTACAATCAGAAAAAAATTTTTATTTGAAAATAGCAATTCACACTTCCACCCCCGGCCCACAACTGTAATGAGTTGTTGGTGCAAACCCCCTAAAGGGAAAGGGTTCCTTGATGTTGGTGAGGGGCTTTTGATTTAGGGAATTTGGGAAATCTGTGCCCCATTCCCCGAATTAACCCTGAATGCCTTCCCCCACCCCCCCCCGGGCCTGTTTAATCCCCCGGGGTTTGGGCGTTTCCCCCCCTTGTTTAAAAATAAAAAATTTAATTTTGGGGGCCCAAATATTAAATTTTTGATCCACACCCCACACACACCCCACACACAACACATATACAAATTCAAAACACACACACACACCCCAAAACATAAAACACACACACACACACACATACAAAAAACTCATACCCACACACGCACACACACTCATACAAAACACACACCCATTTCATACAAAACACAAAACACACCCACCATACACACACCACACACACTCTTTACCAACACACGCAAACAAAAAGCCCACACACACACACACACACCACACACACAAAAACAAACACACACCACACACAACACACCCCAGAGGACCCTTGGACTCGCCCCCTCCCAATCTCAATAGGTGAATGAAACCACACAAACACCCAACACACACACCACACACACACACCACACACACACCCACACACACACACACACACACACACACCACACACACACATGCAACCAGTGGAAAGGCTTTATTTACTTTTTGAAAAGTCGGGGAAATTCTCCAAAAATTAGTCTGCAAAAAACCATGGGGAAAAAATACTTTGCCATTTCTTAAACCTTTTCTGAGTGAGTTGTTTCAAAAATTCCCCTTTAATTTGATCACACCCAGTTACATAATGACGCGGGGGTGTAAACAATAGCCCATCTGGCAAATTTTACATTTCTTTTGGGTTTTAACATCTGGGGGTGGTGATTTAAACCTCCCAAAGTTTAATTTTGTAACCCGGGCCGGAGCCGGGCATTGGTGACATCCAAGAGTCTGCTTTTTTTGTTGGATGCACCTTTGACATGTGGCTCCTCCCCCTAAATAAAATGGGATAGATTGACTGACTGGTGTCAATCTCCCTGACCCTTTTGGGCCAAAAAAATTCTTTTAAAGTTCTTTTCGTTTTATTGTTCTAAAACTACTCCCTGAAAAGCCAAGATTGAAAATCTACCCCCTCTTTAAAAGCATAAAAGCTTACCCAAATTTTTATCATTTTATCATGCATCTGAAGACCAATGAGAAAAGGGAAAATCCCAGCATGGCCCCTCTGACTCCCCCTTTTCCAAAACCCCACCTTTCCCTGTGCTGGCTTCTGACAAAAGGGCTTTCCACAATTTTTTGCTTAATAGTTGAGAGCATTTATGGATGACAGAGAATCAGTTAAAATTTTAAACTGTCAATCTTTGATACATAAAATGCATTTTCTGAAAGGGATTTGGCAAACAGTTCTGTCTAAAAGGGTTTAAAACCCCAAATTTATGATGGTGCTCCAATTTTTTTTAAAGAGACCCAAATCACTCTGAACGAAAAAACAGCAGCACCCCAAGCTGCCCCAGTGGATTGGTGAACAGAACCATACGAAAATAATTTGCGAGAGGTGTGCGTGGACAAATTTTATAATACAGTTTAAAGGGCCCTCATTTTTGGGGCTTAAAGGCAAAAATTTTTGGGGTTGTGATTTAAAAAGTATTTTTGGGGGGAAAAGGGGAGGAATGGTAGTTTGGAATGGAGAAATTATTCCAGGGAAATTTAAAGAAGTGCCGCTTTTTCCTTATTGACATGGATCATGAAACTGATTAAATGCGGGGGGGTGGGTTTCCCTTTTTTTTCGATCCTCTGGGGAGTGTTCACCATGCTGGGGGAAAGTTTGGAGGGCTTCGGGGGCAGGGGTTTTGAATGAGTTTGGGCCTGAAAATTTTAAACCCCCAAATTTGGGATTTTTCTTTAGTAAACGATCTCGGGTTTGTTTTGGAATATCAATTTTCTTTTTGCATTTTTAAAATTTTTTGGCAGTACGGGGGGCTTTCCTAAAATGTCCTCATTGCTTTTTTCTGCATTTTTTTCCTGCCCTCCAAGTTCCAGTAAAGACACAAAGCAAGTAGTGGCGCGGGCTAATAAACCAATGATTAATTTAAGCAAGAACATTTTTTCAAAATTTTTTTAACTTTAGCCCCATACCTGGGGTAAAACCCAGCTAAAAACTCTAAGTGCTTTTAAAGTCTTTTTTTGTATTGGCGAAAAATTTTTGGTTTCAACAGGTCCAAGTAGGGGAAACCCTAAAAGCCTGATACCTGTATCTGCTTACATATTCTAAAAGAAAACCCCCCCATGCAATTGGATTTTGGACAAAACTGTGCCTCTCGGGTCGGGAGGACGCCAAATTTGGGTTATCTTTGTTTTACCCAGTAAGATTATAAACCCCAGGCCCCTGCACGAGGCTATTTACATGTTTAAAAGAATTTTTTGGGTTTTTGGAGAATCCGGTGGGGGTGAATCTTATATCATCACAAAATTTAAATCACATAATGTGGGTTTTGCTGGGAAAGCATTAAGTAATGCTTTTAATTTAAAAAAAATTGAACAGTGGGGGAAATGAGCAAAACCTCCCTTTTGGGGTTCCAAATTCAAAGTCTTTAGTTATTTTTTGGGGCCTGTGCCCCCGTTTTGGAAAAAATAAAAAAAATTAAATTTTTTCGGTCAAAGGAAAAAAAAGCTCCCCAAAAAACATTGGTTTAATAGTGTATATTTATATTTACAGTGGTCCCTATATATTGATGAAAAAGGGCAAAATGTCTTTGGGAAAACAGGTGAATTTTTTAAATAAAGGGTGAAAAACCCTAAAAAGAGGAGGTGCCAGAAGTCGCCAGAAACTTCCACAGGTCAGCTTTTTTTTAATAATCTTCCGGGCCCCTGCTAGTGTACTCGCTTTATAATCTGTGATACCAGTAATACAAAAACAGTGTTGAAATACCCAACTAACCATATTATAAGGGTTACTTAGGGGGAGTGGATGACTTTCATTAGTTTTTTTTTTCCCTTGAAATCCCAAAACATATACTGTGAATTTCATTTTAACCCTGTAGTTACCCAGGGGTTTCGAAATTACAAACGAGAAGCAATTATTACCCCAAAAAAAAGCGTCCTTCCTCCAAAATTTGCCCAGTAAATTTTTAAAAGGATAATTTTGCATTTATTGTGGGGGAGAGGGAAAAAAAAAAAAATAAAAAAAGCTAGTTTACGCGTTTTGATAAAAAAGGGGTGGAGGTCGCCTTTCCCGGTCATTGTAGGAGCCCCCCAGCATCCCCGGCTCTTCAACACGAAAGTTAATTTTTTGTATAAATCAAATCACTATTACTGGGGTTTAATAATTTCCCAGAAGACCCTTTCATGTGTTAGCTAAAATCCCCGACCAGTAGGTTTTTAAAATAAGTGCCCCATGATCAGATAGATCGACTGGTCCGAACCTTGACTTTTTTTAAAAAGGGTTTTCCCGTTGGACAATAAAGCAGACTGAAAACGGAGGGGGTTTTTGTGGGCCCCCCCTTTAAAAAACACAAACATTAAAAAATATATGGGAAACGTGCACGGTAACCCTGTCCAAAAACCCAAAAACAGTTAGAAACAAAAATTCAAATAGCTAGGCTTCATTTAAGGGGGTTTTATTAATAGAATATTAAAGGGGTTGCTATTTAGAATTGCAGTAAATCAACCATTCAAATCACTTGAAGTGTGTGTAGTCTGTGGTCAGTCAAAAAAGGGGTTTCCCAAAACCTGCAAAAAATTGTCTTTTTTGTAAAAATTGGGTTTGCCCCAGGGCCCCCTTGGGGGCCCCCCAGATATCCAAGAATTTGGGCTAAAAGCGAAATTTAAAAACAGGGAAGTTTTTTTGGGGTTTGCCCAAATGAGATAAATCTGTGGACTAAAATCACAAGGGAATTAAAAGAGGTCAACATCAAAGTGTTTTTCATAGAAAAGGGGGAAGTTTCTACAACAGAGGGGAAAAAAAAAAAGTCTGGGCTGAATGGTACTGCCCTTGATACTGGCCAGGGAAGTCAAAAAACTGAAAAGGCTGGAAAAGTTTTGTCCTGGTAGTCAGAAAATTGTGGGGCTGATATGCTGCCCCTGGGAGACATAAGGGTAAAAGCTGGAGAGCGTCCTGGGAGACAGAAATTTGGTGAAGCTGGAGTTTTTGGGTCCGGGTTATTTTGGGGGAAAATTACCCGCGGGAAGGAATACATAAAAATGACCTCATGGGGGAAAAAGGGAGTCTTTGTGGGGGAAACAAGTGTAGTCAAAGATAAGAAAAAAC